CTTCTTCGGCCGCCCTTTGCGCCACACAAGATGCTTGGCCGGCCCTGTCTTCCAAGATTTCACTGCTCGCTTCCACCGAGGGCGCACTCAGACAGGCGGCCGTGGATCCAATCAGCTTCCCAAGCCCCCAAAGCCGGCCATCCGAAAAACGCTCCAATATGCAGAAACCTAACCCTTGACATCAGTGGGAATGCTTAATGAACCTTTCCTTACATCGCAAAATGTGTGGCACTTCTGCAGCGTCTCTAACAAGCCAATTGCAGGCTCCATAAAATTCTACGGCGACAATCACCACATTTGAAGCAGACCTCAACACACAATCTGAGCTACATCAAGCACACACAGCAGAGCAAACTGGTTAAACAACACGTGGCCTGACCGCTCCATCACAGAAGCAACTCCTGACAAGGCTGGTGCAGATCACACACACACACAGCTTTCCACACGCACAGCCTGGCGACGCAACCAGCCTTCAGCCAGGGGTGCCACAGCGCATCCTTGATGGGCATGCGCTTGACCGGATCCTGAGCTGCAGTGTGGGACCAAGTTTCAAGAGACGGTTGAAGCCATATTTGACAGCATGCCACGCTCCTTTCTTCTCAACTCTTCCTAACGCCAAGATGCTCGACGCATCAGCTGTGTGACGAAATCCTGACATGGCTCACTGCATTTTGGAGGCTTGGCTTCAGCCCCTTTCTTGGCGTCATAGGAGAGGCGCTCATTGACCTAGACCAACACATGCTTCATATTGCCATCTGGTCAGTCTGAAGTCTGAGGCACGCACGCCCTTCAGCTCGAACAGCTGCGAGAATCTGCCTTGCTTCAGCCTCAGTCAGTCTCTGTAACCTTCAAGGAATGAACTGACCAGAGGTAGTCAAGAAGCAGAAAGAAGTCTGTGGACGGACGCAGCCTTAACAAACAGACCCTGACAATGCAACCAGAACAGCTCGCGAATGGATGTCACGCACAGCCTGAGCCTTGCGCAGAGCTTTTGAAGAGTGGAACCTCAATCCGATGCATAGCCACATTTCTCTTGTTGCATCCAGCACAGGCAAGTCTCGGCAGTAGGTAAATAGAATGTGTTCCATCCCAGGCACCATGAGTCGACACAGCTAGCCAAGTAGTCCTGTCACTTGGATCAGCTCGCAAGAATGCGCAAAAGCGCAACGCAAAGCATGCACATGGTGTTTGTCATGCTCCATCCTGCTCTTCGTAAAGCTCCGGCAGACAGAAGTCGTCAGCAACGGCTGCGCGGACGACCTTGTTTGGAAATCAGTTGCTCAATGACCAGACGGACTCAGACTTAGTATTGCTTTCGTGCTCGGTAAGCCTTAGAGCGCGTGTTGATTGAATTTGTCTGGCGGCGGCGCAGGCGATGGTTTGTTTGCAGGACTTTCTCTTTCTCATGATTTGGTCATTGGCTGCGCAGGCAGGGGGGAAATCGGAAGGAACTTGCGTTGTCTTGCCTCCTATGAGCAGTGCCTTTCAGCGTATCGCCAGGCAAGCTCCTGGACTTAACGCTGCCGTGCTGCAGGCTGAGGCGGGCATCCCGTTACAGAAGTCCATGCAGGCATGAAACTTATTTCCACAGTGCCCCCGCTTCAATGCTTCACTGTGTAAGGCTTTGGGCCTTCAGTACGTTTCTGGGTTTTGTGACTTGAGGTCGAGTTGCTCATTGACGGCTTGGGCATGGCGGAGAGGCCGCCGCAGTGCCACGCTTATTTCTGTCAGTTTTTACGCGCTTGGTGGCCTGCAGGCTTTCTCACGGAGAGCGGAGGCGATTGCAGGGCAGCCAGGTGGCGCAGAAGCACTTGAACGCCACTTTGTTCAGCAAGAATGCCTGCCCGGCTTCTGCTGAGAAACGCAGCTTTTCCCAAGCCATGCTTGCAGGACTTTGAAAAATGAATCTTTCTACCACAGTGGTCACCCCCCGCTTCCAAACATGACTTCCCTTGTGCCCGCAAAGAGAAAACGTATGAGCAAGGTACCGTCCATCCCTTTATTTGGGGTACCCGGCAATGCATTGCTTGGGAGCTGGGGAGCCTTTACCAAATCGGTTTTGAGACCCAAAACCAGCCGAGTTTTGTTTCTACTAAACTTGTCACTTTTGCTCTGCCCTCCCCATGACTATGTTGTCACTCTAAAGGGGACTCCCTTAGTATCACGGAAAGTTGCCCCAAAACCAACACTTGTCCACACCGCATGTCTCAAACAACCCCTGGCCTGGCCAGTCGCGGGGTCCATCACGAAGGCAACAGCCTGGCCTGAATCGCCAACCCGCACCTGCAACGAGCTTTTGGCTTTGCTCCCATGGAAATGAGTGGAACCCGCCTGCCAGCGTTCTTCATCATCGATGAACAACAGCCTGATATCTGGTAACTGTGTTGGAATCAGACAGCATCAAGGGTATTTCTCTGAACTGCTTCCACATCTGACATCCACGTACAGCAAAGCATGCCAATGGTAATGCATCCTGGTCACATGTTTTCCAGAGACACGTCCTGCCCGGCAGTCTTGCTGGGGACACCATACCCACAAACTTCTAGGAGTTATGTTGAACCATTCTTGAAAAAACCAGCTGTCTCCTATGGGTGGCTGCTCCCCGCCCACACCCGCCACAGCACTGCAAATGACCATGGGCGCAAGTGAACCCTTTTTTATGGGCGTAAGTGACGCCTTTTAAGGAAAATGGGCGCAAGTGATCCTATGGGCGCAAGTGATCCCAATCGTGTCGGCGCAAGTGATCCCTCCACCCCTGTTGAGCCAAAGTCTTTGGCTAAGAAAACGCTTTCCATTTTTTTGCAACCCCCCTCCCCTGAACCTCCCCCATCCCCTCCCTCCACATAGACCTCCCCCTGAGGACTCGCGTGCGGCCTTCTCCGCGGAGCTGCGGCGGCTGCTGCCGGAGGCGACGCCCACGAAGCTGCGTTCGCGGCTGCGGGCCAGCCGCCCCATGCAGGAAGGACCAGAAGACGAATGGGGGAGGGTGAGAACCACTGCCAGGGGTACCGTATCCCCGAAGGGAGCTGGTACTTTGTGGCAGTAGAGAATGTATTTGTAGGTCCCTGGATCTATTGCAGGACACCACCAGTTGGACGGTTTATAAGTGAGCATTAGCAAGTGCTGACCCCAGATGAGTTTGAACCAACCAGTTTATTCATAGGGGGGGTGTCCATTTTTCTGGGCTTGCGGAATTTAGAGGCTTTGGGCTTTAGCGGCCAAAAACCACCCCTATGAATAAACTGGATTTGATAAAAACCAACAGGAAAAACATAATTTCAGATTCTCTATTTTTACACATACCCAGGTTGACAGCCCATTTGATCAACATTGGAGGGCTATGCGGTTGTTTGCACCGAACGGGGAGCTTGACTCCATATTTCATATCTGAAAATGGGGGTCTCTTTCCTTTGGGACGTCCCGTTTGAAGGTAAAACGAGAGAGAACAGAAGCCACCCAGGCTAATTTTAAGACACCCCCATGATGGCATCGGGGAGAGCAACTTGGGGCGATCCATGTTGATCGCGTGCTGCCGCTCTGGCAGGCGAAAGAACCGCCGGCGCCAGCTGCGGCGCCGCCGGCACCGGCGCTGGCGCCGGCGTTTGCGCACAAAAAGCCCAAGGGCAGGAGGAAGTGACGGAGGCAGCGTCCTGAAATGTGATGCCAAACGCTCACCAGTGGTCTGACTGTTTGAGTCGGCATGCAGTAATCAGTTGAAAACAACCTTATTCGCATAGACAACATGCAGAACACGTTGTTTCGCCATGTTTCGCCCTTTGCTTGAGATGTTGGCAATCCTGCTCCAAGCCAATCAGCCGGTTTGCAGTTTGACGCCCGTGCCACACGTCGGGTTCTTCATTCTCATTCTAGATATTGCAAGCTCCACAGGCTCCACATGGGTATGGGTCAAAACAAACCCGCCAGGGGACCGCAGGTTTTTCTATGTTTCCATTTACCAGGGTTCCATTTTGAGTACCTATTTTTGACCCACAGCCAGTTGTGCGCATTGTGCCGTGGGCGCTCAGGCGCCGCAAGGCGGCCCCGGCGCTTTCCAGCTGCTTGCCGCTCGCTCGAGCTTTTCAGGCCGCGTGCAGATGGCGTTCCGAGGGCAGTGTGCAGTGTACAGGGGCTCCGGTCGTCGGCTCTGGCTCAGCGCGACTCAGATGAGCCCGGGCAGGCAGCTGACACTTGGCATGGCAAAATGGAGCGCTGCGTAAGTGCACCGTATGCGTGGCTTTAAACGTTGCAGTTGTTTCTGAATTCTGGTTACTTCCTCTGAATCGTTTTAGTTGGTCAAAGTCTACTTGATGCGGCTTTAGGGGGTTTCAAAGGGTTTTTCATCATGTGTATATGTTTTGCATATATAGGCTTGGACTTGGTGTGGAACAGCTAGCTGTGTGGGATGTAGAGAAAGCACACCGCAAAAGACGGCCGCACATCCACATATTTGTTGCCAGTTGCCCGACGAAACAAGTGTCAGGTTCTGTTTTCTCCGATGGAACGTAAGAATGTTAGGAAGCTCATGCTAGCCGCTGAGTAGCGCAGCAGTCTTGTGTGCTTCCAGACGAGTTGCCCACAGTTTGCTGTCTATAGATTGGGTGAAGTAGGTGGCACAACCTCCCCAGTTTGGCTGTATCATCCTGTAGTTACAGACATATAAAGGGACTAGTGACTTAGTGCCATCTACTTTGAATCTGAACAGTCGCCGACAGAATTCAAACGGACAAGGATACACAACACACTGACTTTGCATAAGGGTGCGCAGAAAGTTCCCCCTCCTCCCCAATGTGCAGATGCTGCGGCTGGGAAGGGACCCGATCTTGCAACAGGTCTTTGGTGACTTAGGAGCTGCCCACACTCTCAAAGACTTTCTTTCACAGGGCAAGGATCCGGTACCTATGAGGGTTTGGCGGTTTGGTTTCCCAATGTTCAGTATCAGGGTTTACTGTACGAGTTTTGGGGGGCGTTTGTGACTTGGGTACTTGGCTGGCCCTGGCGGCATGACCCTGGAAGACTTGCCAGAGTCGGAGTGCTTGGAGCTCTCGTCCGGTGGCACGTTAGAACTGACCAAAGCGACTTGCGAGGTCAGCCCTCAGGTTTCCGACAGCCATTGTAAGGCGTTGCACCCCCCATGAATCGACGGGCGCCTAACGCCTCCAAAAAGGGGCCCGGTGCCATTGACCCTGGGACTGAGAGTTGGTCGCCTGGCAAGGCCATGCTCGATGAGCAGGACGCCCTCTTCGAAAGGCCGGGGGGATCGAGGCAGACCTCGGCGGGCGAAAGCCGGAGCAAAGCCTTGGGTGTCAGGGAGAAATGAGGGGTTGATGCATACCTTGGATGGAGGAACTCCATTTCGCACCGCTTTGAAACCACCGGAAACATCATTCGGGGGTTTCTTAGGGGGTGCAGGATTTCGTGCATATACAGTAACACACAGACATTCACCAGGTCGTGCATTTCGAGCAGCGCAGCTGGTCATTCTTGACGCTGAGACATGGGCAGCCATCCTGCAGCATCGGGTGAAGTGTGTGCAAGGCACTGCCGTTTGCAGCGTGTTGGGATGGCATCCATGCGCGTCCAACGCCGCAATCTAATATAATATAAGCATCACATTGCACTCTTGCAAGCTAGTGTGAAGCCTGACACGCTCTTATGGCCCAAGGACAGTTGCCTTTTGGGCCTGCTAATTTGGATCTTTCTAGACAACAATCGTCGCCGCTTCTTTTGTGTTTGGGGTCCCTTTCAAAAAGCAAAAGGGGGCCACCTTCCTCGTCCTGAGCGACGCCAGGGCCAAGCTTCAAAAGCTCATGGAGCAAGAAGGCAGCCGGGGGAAAGGGGTGCAAGTGTTAGGTGCTCGTCAGTCATCGCTTCTGTTCAAAACTGGGGACTCCCCGATGGTTGGTTTATTTCTGGCTTCCTTGCTTCTTTCTGAGAAAGATGGGTTCAACTCTCTTTGACACCGCACATCCTCTTTTTGAAAAAATGGGGTGGCTTTATTTCGTGATTCATTGTAACAGGGAACCCTCAACCAAAAAGCACCCAATGTGTACTGCCAAGCGCAGGTTTGTTCTCCCCGATGCGTAAGCACGTGGCGGAGAACATCCGCTCGCGCCTAAAAGAGGACGGCCGTAGGTGAAAGGGAGCGGTGAGCCGCCTGCCAGATGGGCAGGTTTGTGGATGCGTGCGTGCGTGCGGGCGGGCGTGCGGGCGGGCAGAAGTGGGTGCGTGCTTGCGCTTGTGTGTGTGTGTGTGGGTGGGTGTGTTCTTTTTGAGAGAACTTTGTTTGGGGCTGGTTTGAAAGGAAACACCCATTTTTGGGGGTCCCCCTGAGCTCGTCGCAGTTTGCTTTTTTTGGGTGTTTTGCTCTGACCCCCCCCAGTTTGGCTCACAAGGTTTGGGACCAAAGACACAGAGGCACATTTGTTTTGGCCTTCATTTCCATTTGCGTTCCATTTTTCCCAAAAGCATCGCTTGGGTTCGGCTTTAGGTTCCTCCGGGTTCCGAGCGATGGGAGCTACGGAGATAAGAAGGGATTTCCGTTTCGTGCGTGGCCAAGCAGGGCTTTCCGGTGTGGTGCAGAATGGGGGCGCGAGGCTGGGGGGACGGCCGTGTTGTGCAGAACGGAGGATGGGCCGGGGGGACGGCCGCCGTGTTGTGCAGAATGGGCGCGGACGGCCGTGTTGAGAATGGGAGGGAGGAGGGAGGGAGGGAGGGAGGGAAGGGAAGGGAAGGGAAGGGAAGGGAAGGGAAGGGAAGGGAAGGGAAGGAAGGAAGGAAGGAAGGTGCCCGCCATGGGACGAAGTAGCCTGCGCACACCTGCACTTCGTGCGTGAACGGGGCTGGCAGCCGGGATCGAAGGAAGGACCACCTCAGGACAAAGTAGACGTTGGAGCACAATTTACTTGTGACCGCAGAACTTCGCTGGCGCCCATGCGCTCTGGTAGTTTCCTTTGACGATGCTGGATGACTTGAGCATGCTGCGTGAAAATAAGCGGTGTAGCTCTTTTTGCTTTCCTTCACGTGGGGCACATCCAACAGCGTGCATGCTGTTCACTCCAGGCGGGTTTGCGTTTTGGGCTCCGGGCTCCTCTTGTTTTGGATCGACTAGGGACCCCCTTCAAATGGTGTTTGAAAGACAATCAAAAAACAAACGCTAGGAGCCGTGTTTAACAGAAATTCAAAAAAGACACGAGGCAGTTTTGATGGTCCCTTTAGCACCTGCTTGCCTGTCGGTCTTTATGCAACTCAGACTTGGCGCTGTCAGGAAGTCTGGGTGCCCTGAGCCCACATTTGCCAGAAGCTTTGAGCGGTAGCTTGGATTCCGGGCCCAAGTGCCTTCGGCACTTTGATTTGATGGGGTCGTGAAGCATGGCCATCTTCAGTTTTCCATTCAATGGTGGGAGGAATCCAGACGGTCTGTCACCCCCTGACAAGCCGATCACCGCGTCAGGAGAGCGACAAGGTGGCCGCGGAGGGCCTGGAGATGCAGCACAAGTGCACCAACATCAGGCAAACAGTTGGGGCGTATTGGGCACAGAGCTGTGGGAAATGAGGTTGGATTTTGAAGCAGCGTTGGCAAAATCGTATAACCTTGTTGGGGCACGTTGCAAAGGGCCCGCCAATTGGCCCGTTTGGCCCCGTGGCCGGGGGGCTGGCTTTTGGTGGCTCTAACACCAAGGCATGATGATACACTTCCCCCACTCGATAAGAGGGTGGGGACAACGACATGTGAGCAACGGACATGAGAAGTAGGGGTGGCGGGCCCAGCCAGTCTAGGCAAACGCTCCAACTCCTTTTGCAGAACATCGAATATAGGCTGTGGCCTGACTTGACAGTTCCGCCATTGAAGCTAGTGGTTCGGATTTTAGGATGTGGATCGGTGCTCAAGTTGCGTTGGCTTTTGGGCGATTAGAGACACCATTTCACCCACCATGCAACCGAAGACAACATGCGGCCAGCCAGAAGGAAGTACCCGGATGTGAGGGTGAAGTGGACGCAGGAAGAACCTGGGCCAGATGATGAACGCAAGGACTGCACTTTGCACCTCAGGGGGTGTCAGGGGGTGTCAGGTGGTTGGGGGGGCTAGCCGCCAGCTGTCCAGCGTTTGTCGTCATTCCGCAGAGATGAACGACTCAACGGCTAGGGCTTGATACTTGTACTCGAATGGCACTTGACCAGACAAAAGAAGAGACATCTCAAAGCCCCATTGCATTTTGCTCCATCAAGAAGTGCTGTGCTCAGCCAGCAGAGTTTGTGAGCTGACTCCCATCGAGCTGTCGGATTCCATACCACGCAACAGAGAGACAAGCATGCCGTCGCAAATGAATCGCCCAAGCAAGTCCTCGCAATCGCGCCGGATCCATCCGTTAGCTTGGGTTTGCCCAGACCCGCCAACATCCTGACAACCGATGAGCTTGCCAGGTTGACTTGTGATGTTGAGGGCGTTTCTTGACCTTTTTGTCACGGGGCCAATGTAAGTGGCGGCTCTACTGCCTGTTTGGGGGATTACCTGAGCATGGGAAGCCCAATGAGAACTGAGTCAAGACACCGCGCATTCGGCGATCTTCGTATTTAGCACAGGGATGTTCTGCCCTTGGCGACCTTTTACACTGGAAAGGATAGAGCGTGTCGGGAGTGCGTCAAGCCAGTTCCATCCTAAGCCAGGCGCATGAGGAAGCCCGGCTTGCCTTTCCACAGACCCTGCGTTTTCGCCGATGAAGCTACTTGACTCTTCAAAGCGGTCTCCTTCCCCTTCAATCAACCTCCAAGCAGCGTGGTTACTGGTCTTGCTGGTGCTCAGTAGGAAATGACCCAGGTTGCTGTTTATAGGGGTCATTCCGAACATTCCATTTCAAGAAAGGAGGGTCTTTCATTTTGAGTACGCCGCTAGGAGGGACCTCGCCTCCCTGCGCCGGGCCATTGTGGGTCGTGGCTTGGAGTCGGACCGAAGAGGGCGAGGTTTTGGGGGGTGTGGGGGGGGGGGTTCAGTGAGGGGGGGGGTTCCAAAAATGACTCCGGGTCCCTTGAACCCGCCAGTTGGTTTGATTTTGAGGATAGGAAGGGTGCGTTCTGGTGATGTCGACCAATGCATACCTGGTGGATAGACAGGATGTTGCATGTTTCGCGCAAGTGAGCCTCTGTATGGGACACCTCGATTGAGGGGTCCGAAATGGCTTCAGGGCCCTGGCACAAGTTTTGACTCAAGGCCGTCACTTGCAGTGGTTTGCGCCAAGCGGCCAGAAGGTTAGAAGACTCACCGTACAAAAGCCAGGCTCGCTCGATGTGCCCTTTTGGCTGCTAGTATGACTCAAGCGTGGTGTGCTTCTTAGGCTTGGAAGAGGAATATCAGACGAAGCAAAGCACTCAAGCGACCTTTTGGCTGCTCTATGTCTCGTGACTCTGGGAGGTAAGTTGTTCAATTTAGTTTCTACCCGCTTTCCAACAATTATGGGGATAGGCGACCTTTGTCAAGATGAGCTCCGGTGTGCTTCAACAGTTCTTGGAAATCAGCTTGTCAGCACAGAGATTCAGCTTTACAGGTCAACCATCAGCCTAAAGCCGCAAGGAGATGCTGTCGATGCACGCGGTGGGCGGGCTAAATTTTAATTGGAGAGTAAAAGAAAAGTCAATTCATCGACCTTATGACAACCAAGCTATAACTTTTATCTCCTTGTGGCAGTTCTTCGTACCAGATACATCCGCTGCCAAACTTGTGGAGGCATGTAGCTCTGAAGCGGTCATCGCTCCAGGATGAGCAGTCCAAGCAGGCCATGCTGATGATGTGACAGATGTGCAAATCGCAGCTTGGTTTCACAGATCTTCCAAGTCCTGGGGCCCTTTGGAACTTCTTCACCCAAAACATGTGGGCCAGGTGGCCACCTGAGTTGGATCGGGCAAAGCGCCCCCCAGATCCTGGAAGCTCTTGGTTTCGGCGGGATGGTTTTGACGGCTTCGTCCCGAAGGGACACGTCAAAACCAGCGCCAAGCGAGTGGGGTGGGGCGACGTGCGGAAAACGGCGGCAGCTCGGCATGCGGCGGGTGTTTCGAGTGCATGTGATCCTACGGATGCAGGCGAACAAGAGGGTCACTTATGCACAGAGTGCGAGCAGTTATATAGAGGGAACGTGAGGCACGTTTCAGGCCTTTGCAAGTTCAGTGACATGCGCGCAATGTTTGTTGGATTCCTGACCCCCACAAAAGAAACACCTGGGGGTGGGGGCCAAATCTGAGAGACGCTTGCAGCCTGTGCCGCTGGTCGCAGCCCTCAAGTGTGGCCGGGGAAGCTTTGTTTCGCTTTTTGGCTGCCGGGCTGCCCAGAAATGCACGAGGCAGCGGTGCTTGGCTCTCTCTCCTCTGCCGTGCTGCCATTGCCGCTTTTCAACGCTGTTGTTTGGGTCTGCGCTGGGGCAACCCCATTGAGGGCACGTCTTGGGAGGCACTCAGGATCTTTCTCCGGTCAACACCCATGGAATGTGGGGGTTTTGATTCCCTGTGCTCCTCAGGCTTTTGGTAGTGGCTCTGGCACCGTAGTAGTACATGGAATGCACACCAGGGCGCACCCCCCCCCCCCCCCGGCCCCTGCGGTGGGTTGGCAAGTTGACCAACACCGGGGTTGGTGGTGTCCCTTTGCGAACGCCACCCAAGCTTCCGCCTAAAGTGCCACCCATTTGGCTTGGGATCACTAAAATAGCAGGCTGTCCGGCTCTTTTCTGGGCTCGTGATCTGGCACGGTCGCTGATTGCGGGTTGGCGAATGACTTCCATGCATCTGGATCGATTGAATTGGGGATCATTGCAGTTCCCTACGGTCCCAAACTCCCGATGTTGGCCCATTTGTAGTGATCGCCGAGAAAAAGAAAGAAAGAGAAAGGAAACGCAAGAGAAAAAAACAAGAAAAAGCAAGAAACAACAAGAAAAAGGGAGGAAACAAAAACACCTCCTGGAACTTAGCCATTCAGCCTGCATACCTGGGACGCTGCTTTGTGAGAATCTTCTGCGGAACGAACCCGAGGCCCACATTTGGCAGCCATGGGGAACACCGCGACGTGCTGCTACTCTGCAGGCCGGGGGAGAAAAATCGAAAATCGAGGCCCTTCCGAGAGGCCGCCTCCGGATGGAGGCGGCTTTTGGATGGCCAGCGTCTCTGGTGGGTTGAGGGTTCCGGGAGTTGACAGAGAAAAGTAGCGACGATGAGCAAACTGGGTCCTTTGAGCACGACAGCCTTCCAGAGAAGCACAACCCTTTTTGCTGGGTTGTCGAGGATTTCTCGGGCCATCCCAGTCGAGAGTCATCCTGAAAAAGCCCACAGCCGAGGGCTGCCAAAGAAATGTTGCCGCGACCCATAGGAACTTTGGCTGGTGCGGCTTTCCAAATTTCCTCGTAGTCAATCTTTAAACTTGCTGCGTCGTGGTTTGGCAGTGGTGGCTGGTAGCAGAAAGAACTACGGGTTAAACGGGTGAAAAAGCGAAGTGACTTGACGAATACAAGAAGCACTTCACATCAGGATCAGGATCGCCACACATTCACACCACATGCGAGGCACGGAGCATGTTTGACATTGTTTTTGACAGACACGGGGTGGATTTTGCGCTGCCTCTGCGTTCGAAGGATGTGACATCAGAACCTTCCCCCCAATGTGCCTCCCAATTCACCATTGTGGTAATTATGTGTCACACCCCCCCCCCCTTTCTCCATTCTCAGACTCCCGCTGCTGCGGCACCGGCGGGGCCGAGTTGTCTGCTGGGAACACAGGGGAGGTGAGGGAAGGGCTCTGTATTTCCCCGATGGGTCAGCACCACCTTTTGGGGATGGGGGTGAGTTTCCTATTGGAAGGGGAAATTGAGAGAGGTTTGAGGCCCCACTTCGCCTCTTTTCCAGCAATGGACTTCCACTTTCGCCCCTTGTGGAAGCCTGCTCTCCTTTTGCGTCCTTTCGCTTGGCCTTTGACGCACAGCCCCACCATTGGATGGGCCAAGACCCGCATTGGAAGGTAGTTCCGCAGGCACCGTGCCCTCCCATTGCCAGTGACTGAGCCGACGCATGGGTGGGGTGCTGAAAGTGTTTTTTTTTGTTGAGGACCTCTTGCCAAAAGGAAAGCAGCACACGGTTGCACAACCAGCCTCTTTGTCCCAGGTCTCATATGCTGCATTCCCAAACTCGTCCTAATCACTCGGACAACTTTTTTTTGGTTTTTGGTGCCGGATCTAGCCCTGGAACGTTGGGAACCTGGGCATTCAGCCTGCAAAAGGTGCGGCTCTTATATCCTGCTCTCGCTGAGGCGCCCGGACCAGTCGACCCTCTCAAGGATGAGGCGCGCATTGGGAGCGCGAATCCGGGCCACCAGCAGTTGGGCCCAGGCAGACAGTGACTGGCAAAGGGCCGTCCACGCGCACTGGCACGCACCACCTTGGTGGGGCATTGTTGTGAGCAATTATTTTAAAGGCTTTGCTGCCTGCTTCAGGTAACGCCGTGTTCAACCCTGACTTCCAGACTTTGACAACCAGGATGTAGGAGATTTTAGTGAACACCAGCATCATTTCCACCTGGCGGCAACCGGCATTTCTTACCAAGAAAAGAGCTATTTGCCAAAAGGTGGTCAGCATGCTCTAGAGAAAAAATGGGCACACGTGCCATGATCAAAATACCTTGAGTTGGTCATAGTAATATAGGAACCTTAGGAGTTGTAAAGGGCCCATGCCCATCCCTGGAAGCCGCAAGAAGTTTGTTTTGACCAGGGTCAGCATTTACTGTCATCCACTGAGCCAAGGGGATGACATCGAGCGCACTTACTACTAATACTCAAGTTCCCATGTTATGGAAAGACACAATTCATGTTGACCGTGGCTCGTTCGTTGCCCGCCGAGGACAAGCAAGCGGGAGAAGCAGGCGGGAGTTGGCATAAGCGGGAGACGGACCGTGTTGGACTGCTTGCGCTATGGGCCATCCCAGCCATCCGCTCAAATCAGGGGATCTCTTTTGACAGATGTTTTACGTTTAAGGTTCAGCAGACGTTGGAAGGAATCAGAACTCTTATTTGATGTTGCGGAAAAGCTGCGGTAGCATGTAGCAATGCGTCCATTTTGTGCAGCTTCAGATTGAGTCTCGAAAAGGGCTTCCTTCTTCCGTCATGTGCTTTGGCCAACTGGGAGGGTTTGCAAAAATTCTAAGTTGGGCCTGGCCGTCACGGGAAAACGGAGGCTAAGCTACCACTTGCGGGCTGGCCTCGGTTCAGGAAGATTGCCTCATGATCACAGACTTCAAGGGGAGTGGTCAGAGATCAAGCAATCTAGAATTGTTTCCTCACGTCAGAAGGGAAAGACGGAAACGATTACCCCACCAAACAGAGGGGTCCCTTTGATGAACACCCAGGCTGCCCATCATAAATCAATCGATTGAACCTCTGGACCTCTCGGTACTTTTGAGACTTCTTGCAGCCCCCACAAGGACTCAAGAGCAATTCACAAGACACATTACATATCTAAGGGCTGCCGCCCTGCATATAAAGTATTTCAGTCCAGGAAAGCAAAGGCAAGCCAACGGGACGTCAGACAGATTCCAAAATTAAACCAAAGGGAAACCAAAAGTCAACCAAAAGTCAACCAAAGGTCAACCAAAGGGAAACCAAAGGGAAACCAAAGGGAAGACAACACCCCCCCCCCCCCCCCGACGCAGATTCTTTCACGTTTGGAATCCCAGGACCCAGAGGTGGTTACCCTGGCCCTAAGGGAACCCTGGCCCCACCTGCTATCGCTTCAGATTAACAAACAAACATCCGCCGATATATAATCTACAATATGTATATATATATATCTATCTATCTATATGTATATATATATAGGTGTATATATATATATATATATAGGTATACATATATATATATATGTATATACACATCAACAAGATACGGGGGCCTTGCGAGCTGCAACGAAATGCTGCCAAAAATGTTGCTTTCCTGTTGGTAGGCTTTATGCCCAAGCACCATTAGCATCGTTAGTATCTGGACGGAACACGCAAAACGTGTCGTCCTCTCGCATGCTCAGCGTCACAGGGCTTGCCTGCACTAAAACGCTGGTGATGTTGGGGGTGATGCTGGGGGTGATGACCGCTAGTATTTGGGATGAGAGGTTGTTCTTTGGCATCCCCAGTCCCACGCATAACGTCCTTTTGGAAGCCTACAAAACAACTAAAGTAAAGGAACAGCAACATCAACATCACCACAGCAAAGCCCTGAGCATCACCACCGGCACAGCTTCCGGGGTGGAATAGAAGAATTATCAAGTAAAGGAACAGACACATCGCCATTCAATGATCAGAAAACGATGACTTGAACGAATGATAATCTGTATAAAGATGGCATGTTGCCATCCTTCCTGAGTGCCTCCCTTTTGGAGAGGGTCGGCGGAGGTAGATATGGATATACACATACATATATACAGTATACGTATATATATTTATATATAGACACCATGTACAGTGTGCCGGAAAAGAGACTCCTTGACGACATCTCCAGATATTCGCCTCTGCGTGCAAATGCCTTGGGGGTCCTGACTGCGAGGCACAACCGTTCCTGCATTGTTGGAGGAGCGAGCCGGGCGTGAAACGCTGCTGCCTTTCTGCGCTGGGGTTGAGTATGTTTGCCGTTTCGATGGTTTTAACATCAGGTGAGGCCACAATCAAAGCCTGGGTAGATGATGGGACAGTCCCAGCCAATAATAAGTGCGGCCGCCTTTCTATTTCTTTACATGGGTTCCATGAGGTCCCGCACCAGGCCCCGCAGGAGATGTGTCCAGGGTTCGGAGCAAGTGATGTTTCAGAGGCGCACGGCAGGCGGTTTGCAGTCTAGTTCCAACGGGAAGCTGGTCATATGCAATGCTCTTGCATAAGTAGCTGTCCACCACTAGATCTTGTCTCCTGCCGGTTTTTCATCAGTGCCGTCCTTCCGTGATGCTTCATTTGCTATGATGCTTTCTCAGGGTTTTTCGGCTTTGCGCATCCTTTCATAAGCCATGCTCCTCCACGCAATCACACATGGGTCCGTCCCGCCGGCCAAGGGGGGCCGGGTGCTAGGACATTGGGCCTTAAGAAAAATGCTGGGCATGTTTGACTACAAGGCTGAGGGGGTTGGTTGGACAATTTGAGTGTGGGAGGAGAAGAAAGAAGAGGCGCTGACACTGGATGAGCAGGACGCGACGGGGAGAGATATACCCTTCCTCCCGTTGACATCGACTCTGAAGCGGGCCATTTGCCGCCCAAAACCATCGCCTGACAGGGGAATGGAGGAAGGGAGGAGTCTTTAGAGTGGTAGAACCATCCGTACTTGCCAAAATCAAGCAATGCGGCAGATGAATCCACACAGCAGCCTCGCATGAGAATAGGTCAAGCGAGAGAGAGAGAGAGAGAGAGAGAGAAAGAGAGATGCAGAATTCACAAATCCAATCCATTACAGGCTCGTGCAAACAGGCTTGATTTTTGAAGTTGGCAGATGAGAAGTGCACGCGTGCTTCGGATCTTGAGAGCAAGCATCCTGCTCCCAAATAGATGTATGAAACCGTCTGTTATTGGTTGTTGTTTGTTTCCGGATTTCCTGAAGGGTGTTAGGCCGTTAGGCTGCGGCTGCAAGTGTGCGTTGCCCACGGAATCCGAGCGAGGAGAAGCAGTTTGTAACCTACCAGGCAGGGGCGAAGCGTGCCGTCGCGAAGCTAGCTCACGGCCTGTGCCTAACCTGGGCCACGCAGGTTGATGTCGATGGTTTGTTTACAAGATTCGCTTGGGCAATGCCTTCTACCGCTGGCACCCCAGTAGCTGGTTGTATTGGTTTGCCATGGCAACAACAAAGGAGGCCCCCTATTTCAAGACAGACTCTTTAAAAAAAAAAAAAAAAAAAAAATACCAGCTGCGCCTGTTCTTCCAGGAGCTCGGGGGACCTTTTTTTGACAACAACGGGCGTGAAGCTTCGGGGGCCTCGGGAGCAGCTTATCCGCCAGGACGGATCCACGTACACGGGCATGATCAAAGAAGGCAAGCGTCACGGCCATCGCCTCGGGTCCTGAGCAGAATGGCTGCGGTGGTCGTTAGACCGTTTAAAGGAAGCCCGTTTTGGTTGGGATTGGTGAATTCACCACCCCTTTTTTAGGACCTATTTTAAGTGGTTGGATTACTTAATTACTTTTTGGGTACGGGATGTCGACCCAGGGCCAAATGGCCCGTGAGAGGTGTCAAGGAGCTGTGATCCCATGGGAGCATATGTCAGAGTTATCAGAGAAGCAATTTACTACTGAAACAGGGACCAGTGGATGAAGGGGCTTGAAGTTTCAACATCCGCGAAAGTGGCGGGATGAGGGGTAGTTCGACGCCGGTGGAAGAGGTGTCCAGGGAGTTTGGCAAAGTGTCGAAGCTGAGGACAGGGAGTTTGGCAATCCAAAAACTGCCAGTACGAGGGACAGTGGAAGGCGCGCTTGTCTCTTTGGTCATCTGGACCGAAGTGCCGTTCTCGAGTGATGTTGGTGCTGCCCTGGCCGATGTAGGGCTACTTTGGGCGCCAACCAGATGAATGTTTCATCCCAAAAATGGGAAAAACACCCGAAGGCATTGAGACGGGTACCTCAGGTTTTGGTGGACCCGCGTGTACTCGGACGCAGCCTTCCGGGCCCTGGCGGGGGCTTTGCAGCGCAGGCCGATGCCCAGGATGGACAGGGCAAGCAGACCTGGAGCGATGGGCGTGTCTATGAAGGCCCGAGAATGTCGTGCTTAGATCTTCGGGTGACAGCACCTGGGTATGGGTCAAAATTAAGCCACAAGGGGACCGCAGGTTTTAGTCCTGGGTGGCCCCATTTTAGGTACTGTTTTTTGACCCACTGCCACCTTTAGGCTTATGTTTACTGCTCATGTTTGAAATTCGAGGGGATGTTACATAGATATGAGCCATGATTTGATTTTCACATGGCTGTTGCAGGGAGGGAAGGGCTGGCAGGGGGAAGGGGTGGTAAGGGGAAGGGGTGGCAAGGGGAATGTAAGATGCATTTTCAAGAGGTGATATAGCGATTGCATTGATCGGGGTCGTTGAGGAACTGCATGTTTGCCGTGCTGGTGTCTGGTGGTTTTTCAGGGAATGCAATTGCACCCCCGCCATTTGGAGGGTCCCCCTACTGTAAGACAGACCCATACCTCAAAATGATGACCTGTTGGAGTGGATGTATATGCCTCTTGACGCAAGGACAGTTCCAGAGTGGGCGCTTCTCCGGAACCGGCAAGATGGCGGCTTGCCGGCATGTGGAGCTTTGCAAGCAGTAAGCATGACGGGCTTCTGTCGTTGCTTGCTCAAACGTCTTGGTCTGCGGGAATGTGTTTCTCTTCCAACCGCTTTTCTGTGTTGCCTCGAGCAACTCATCTTGAAGAGGCAGCCAACGGTGGAACTGGGCTGACAGAGAGGGGGCGGTGGCATCATAGGTGTCCTTTTTCGGTTAAAATAGAAGGCACTTGTTTAGATGGGTGTTATTCCATTTACCAGGGCCATTGATTTTTCAAAAACAACAACCCCCAAAGTGAAGTTTCAAAAAATGCCAACCCCCAAAGTGGATTTCCCTCAAAAACCAACACCCAAAGTGGATTTCCCTAAAAAACCAACCCCCAAAGTGGATTTCAAAAGGACACCTGGCACATGCCACTTATTGGTCGAACAGCCGGAGTCGTGTCACAGCCCATGCACTTAAGCGGTGCGCCTTGTGCCTTCCTCAGGTCTGGCACACTCAGAAGGGCATGTTGGTCTACGAGGGTCAGTACAAGGACCTGGTCTCCTCCGCCGCTCGCTTTTTTCGTCTTTTTTCTTCTGCAAGCCGTGAAAACCCTCGTAGACCTCCAAGGTTAAGCATGGTTGTGTGACGCACAAAATGGGGACCCCCCCCGAACATGGTTGGGTTTCCTGTTGGTTTCCTCCTAAAACCAACCACAAAGGGAATCCTTGGAGCGAAAGACACCCACATATGGCCATATTGGCCGGTTGCTTGTTGACAGTTGATGGACCTTTGCCTGAGGGAATGATCTTTGCGAAAAGGACAGATGCCTTATGCTGGGCTTGCCATCATAGTGTTCCTTGCAGTGCAGCTCAACAAAGACAAACGTCACACACACACACACACTGAACCCGGGAATCAATGAATTGGTATGTCTCTAAATGAGAACCCCTTGTTTAATGCGAGGCTCAAGAAAAAAATAATCAACGGGTAGGTTCTCCAAATGAGACCTCCTTGCTAAATGCGAGGCTCAAGAAAAAAGCAAAAAGCGCCCAGATCAATCCAGGTCTTTCCCCGGCTTTGTTTCATCCAAGCCATCAAGGCCCAGTGCGCCAGGATGACCTGAAGCATGGCCACGGCAAGTTTGTGTGGCCGGACGGCAAGGGGCCTCGGGGTGCAGTGAGCGAAGCCGAGCAAAAAAGGCAGCAGAAGGGCGTGTTTTTGGATGGCACCTGCTGTTGGGGGGTTGGTTGGTGTAAGGGGAACCCAAAAAGGAACACCCGTTTTTTGGGTCCCCCTATTCGGACACATTCGAACTGGAGCGCAGGTCGCAGGGTTTTCCGCTGTAGTGCCTTTGTTTCTCAACTTGGGAAATTGGAGTACAACAAATTGCACTGTTGCAGCTCCCCTCCAGATTTGCTTGCGGCTCAGGCCGGACCTACGACGGGGAGTGGAGCCAGGGCAAGCGTCATGGTCGGGGGTCTGAGATGCTGGGGGTGGGGGCAGAGTCTGTGAGGCGGAAACCCATGGCCTTGCGTTTGACTTCCCAAGATTGGCATCACAAGAGACACACCCAAAACCGAACCCCGGCAAAATTTGAGGCCGGAAGCGAAGCAGGGTGGGTTTCAGCAGCTTCACTTCCACTCCAATTTCTCTCCCGGCGCGACATCCAATCAGGACGCGGCACCTACATCACCGCGAAAGCGGAGAGGAAGGCGGGCAAACAAGGGATTGTGACAGCCAACGTTCACTTGGTCAGGTGAATAGGCCAATCTCCTATGCTGTTGGATGCTGATTTGCTCCTTGGGCTATTGCATGCTCATGCTACCCCAGATGGTACCCTTTCCTGATTGGCCTACCTGTCTTTTGAGTGCCAGCCTTTGCGCGTGCTCCATGGCTGCTGCTTGATCCTCCCTCGCCGTGGCCGAGCAGCCTTCAGACAGCTTCTCAGCGATGAAAATGAAGTTTGTTGGGCTATTCCATCCAGAGGCCCCTGCGCTATATTCCAGAGGCCCCTGTGATGCTACACACATGGTTGCTCCTTCTTACTTTCTGGGCTTTTGCTTTCCCCATTGCCTTTGCCCTTCTTATCCTTCTTCTCGTGGTCCTTGGCCCTGATGCCCCAGCCCTGCAATGCCGGCTACAGTCACTCTTGGTTTGCAGGAGTTGTATTCTCGCTTTGTTTCCACGCTCGTGCCTGACTTTCATAGCACGGGGGGGGTTCCTGCTTGGAAATATGTTCGATCCTTTTTGCCTGGCTGTTTGTTAGAGCAAGTTCTGCTGTTGCCGCATGTTGCTGCTCCTTTGAGCTGGGGAGCCGCTCAGTCTCGGCGGATCAGCGCAAGGGCCAGGCTTGTGACAATCGCCACGAAGCTGCTTCCGAGCGAGGAGTACCAGACCAAGGCAGCGTACGAGGCCAAGTCCCGCGTTCGCCTGTGTGCAGAAGCTCAGGAAGCCTGCGAAGGCTGGGATGTCCAAGGAGGCCGCAAGGGAGGCCACCAAAGAAGCCAAGGAGGCGGCCAAGGAGAAGGCGGAAGCAAAGGCTGCAGTGAAGCCCAAGGCAAAGAGGAAGCCAAGGGCAACCGGCTCATCGGAAGGAGTCGAACTTCAGGCCAATGTCATGATCCATCCGGCCAGGAGGGCGTTTATTTTTTTCCTTCGCAGAAGGGGTTTTGTTTGCCGGTTGCGCTGAGAATCGCCTGCAGATGAACCAGAAGCTGCTTGCCACGGGCGCTTTTGGCATGTGCCTGACTGTGGCACATGCCCAACGCCATGATTCCAGCCACGGGGGATATTGCTGGACGGGTGGGCTTGAGATAATCACTGCGCTTGCACAGCAAGCGGCATGGAAAGGGGATTGCCGGGATGCGTCCATGCTTCCTGGATCTGTGTGCCATGTGTAAATCAGCGACTTTGAATGCGCGTGACAAACAAAACTATGCCTTGTGCATTGGCTTGAGGCCAAGGGCATAGCGAGGTTTTGGGGAAGGTGCCAGGTGCTGGTATTGCAACTCGGCAGGTGGGCTACTGGGTGGACGACAAATTCGACCGCTGGGAGAAGGACATCGTTGGGCGGGGTATGGCTTCAGTGGTACGTGGGATACTGCGATGCCGGCATAGGTTACCCCAACTTGGCCCCAGATCGTGAAGTCGTGACTGATTTCAGGCAGCGATCAATTCGTGTGTGACGTTCTTCGCAGCATTTAGGGTCCCAAAGTTGAAAGTGGGAACCGCAAAGGAAGCCTGCGCCTTGAAACTCTGCACTCGTGGCTTCCCTTAAACGCAATGGCCAGGGGAAACGGCTTTTTGTAGAGTACCCCCTTTCCGATGATTTTTAGTTGACAAAGCCAGGAGTAGGGCCATCCTGGACTTGGCACTTGGGAAGACCATGTTGGCGGAAAAAGACAAAGTTTGGTGACTTTCTTGGGGACAATCCACTCACGTGCGATATGACCACCATGGAACCTTGGGGAAAGGAGAGACCGGTGAATCACTCGACTCGAATTGAAGGAGGATGCGTGATCGATCGACGCCCGGGGCCTCGACTCGCAGAAAATCGGACGGACGGGCTGACTGGCTGGGTAGCATTGGTTTGTCAATACCTTTGGGGAAATTAGAAGGCGGCAGAATTCTTTCCAGTGAATTACAGCAAAAGCTTTGGACTCCTCATCCACGGTGGCGGAGGAAAAAACGTGGCTTCCCTTGCCTGGACAGAATGGCTCTCCACAGAGATGGCAATCTCGCATTCTTGCCGCGCGGCTGTTGCATTCTCAAAGTCACGCCCTAAGTGGTAAACCAAAGGAAACCCAAACCCCAGTTGCGCTCTGCTTAGGAGAGTTGTTTTGGCGGGGGCCCCGAAGGCGCGATGCCTGTTCCAAGGAGTGTAGATGAGAGTTGACTTTGAGGGGCCTGCGAAGACATTTGTTTGTTTTGTTTGTTTTGTTTGCTTGCTGTCTTGCTTGCTGAATTTCTTTTTGGTTTGTTTGTTTGATTGCTTGCTTGATTGCTTGCTTGCTTGCTTGCTTGCTTGCTTGCTGTTTTGCTTTTTTGTTTGTTGGTATGTACGTATGTTTGTTTGCTTGCTTGCTTGCTTTCTTGATTGCTTGCTTGCTTTTTGTTTGTTTGTTTGTCTCATTGCTTGCTTGCTTGCTTGCTTTTTGTTTGTTGGTATGTACGTAAGTATGTTTGTTTGCTAGCTTTCTTGCTTGCTTGATTTCTTTTTGGGTTGTTTGTTTGTTTGCTTGTTTGTTTGCTTGCTTGATTGCTTGCTTGCTTGCTTTTTGTTTGTTTGCTTGTCTCATTGCTTGCTTGCTTGCTTGCTTGCTTGCTTGCTTGCTTGCTTGCTTGCTTGCTTGCTTGCTTGCTTGCTTGCTTGCTTGCTTGCTTGCTTGCTTGCTTGCTTGCTTGCTTGCTTGCTTGCTTGCTTGCTGCTTGCTTGCTTGCTTGCTTGCTTGCTTGCTTGCTTGCTTGCTTGCTTGCTTGCTTGCTTGCTTGCTTGCTTGCTTGCTTGCTTGCTTGCTGCTTGCTTTTTTGTTTGTTTGTTTGTTTGTTTGTTTGCTTGTTTGTTTGTTTGTTTGCTTGTTTGTTGGAGTAAACAGATGTCGCCAAGTGGGACGCCCACAAATCGTTGCCTCCTTTTCGCTCCAGCGGAGGCTCAGCAGCCGCTTCGTAGGCGCCGTTCGCTTGAAGCGGCTTGGGCCTATGCGGCGGGCCTGGGTTCCAACCCCGCCGGGATCTACAGAATCGGGGGCAGGGTCAGAAACAGGTCACACGGACGCGTCGCTTTGTTTAGGGATCGGATCCGCAAAATCGGAGCGGCTTTTCCTTTTGGGTTTCCTTTAAAACCGCCAAAAAAGGGGGTACCGTCACAAAAGACGCACCCACATGGGTCCATGGGTCATGCGTCCAACACAACTGCTTTTTTTTGATGGGGCAAATGGGGTACCGGAAGTGTGAGGTTTGCAGACGGCAAGGATACAAAGCCTTTGAGTGCTCCAAACATTTTGTTGGACACTCCACTGTCTTTGGCGTGGTGTGTGTGTGTGTGTGTGTGTGTGTGTGTGTGTGTGTGTGTGTGTGTGTGTGTGTGTGTGTGTGTTTGTTCTTTCTTTTTTTGTGGGGCAGGAGCCCAGCACGTGAGATAGGGGTTGATTCCAACCATTCTTTTCAACCATCTTTTTCAAAAACCGGATCTGTTTCCCCACGGTTTTGGGTGTTTTTTTTTAGAAAGAAGGATGCCTGGAAATGGGCAAGGTGCCCCGAGAGAGATTTATCCCTCTGCAGTCCCACGGCCCCGCGCGATGTAATTCATGTTGGCCGCCGGAGCTCAGAGCCGGAGGTTCCAACGGGAGGCCCACGGGCGATGCTTTTCTGAGCTGGGCTGAGAGCCAGTTTGTTTTTGTTTTGTGTGGTTATTATTATCATTTATCATTCTCATTATCATTATCATCATTATTATTATTATTCTTGTGATTTTTATAATGTGTTTTTCGTTATCTTCTTTTGGTTATCATTTTTTCATTCTGGAACCAGAGTATCCTTCGATATGCAAAAGTTTTCTATACATAAGCACGCTGATCATTCTGATGCTAACGCAATCCCCACACACACACACACACCAGCAGCCTGCAGCAAATGGCAAAGCAGCCCACCTGAATTAGAACTCGGCTGTTTTAGAGCCTGCAGACAACATCTCCAAGGCAGAGTCCCAATGCGAATCCCCAGATATGTACCAGCAGCCTGAAGCAAACAACAACACCGCCCAGTCGCTCGGCTGTTATGAAAAGCCATGGCTTTCCCGCAAAACTGCAACGCCCCTTGCCCTCAGACCAAGCCAGCTCAGCGCAAACCACCGACTCGACTTGGATTTCAATCGCGACAAACCGAAGCACGGATGCAAACCTCCTAAAGTTTCAGATTTTTTTTTCACAAAGTCGAACTTTGGCACCTCATTGTTGGCCAAAAAAGCGCCCTAGCGCCGCGAGAAGCAACATGCACTCACAACACAGCTCTAAACTCAAACAATCCAAAGCAAGGTCATCTCAGCGGGGGGTAGGGGGGCCTCAAGTACGAACTAGCACCAATTCTCATATACTTGCCTCTCTCGCAGTCTCTCCGTTTCACATATGAGACGTTGGGGCAACAGGAAACAAGTAAAATCACCCGTGCTTTGAGGGATCAGGCTCTCAGATCTACATGAAGCAGTGCAGCAATCTATGCTCCGTTTGGGGGGGGGGACATGGATGGGGAACCACAGATTTGGACTGCACATGTGAGGGATGTGGATTTCCGTTCACGATCTCATCCCATTGAAAGGCTCATGCTTGCATGTCTCTCTGTGGTCTTGGCTTTGCAGACCATTGGCTCTGGCTCCTTGAAAAGGGAGGGCTTCTTTTATGCCGGCCTCCTGCCATCGCCGGCCATGGCGAGAAAAACGCGTTTCGTTTCACCCGATGCAAAGGCATCGTTGCTGTTGCTGTTCTTGTGAGGCTCGGGGGATCTGGGCGTTGGAAGGCGCCCGGACCTTCCTCGTGGGCCCGTCCGCTGAAATCTCGCACCGCGAACCGCGAGCGCGTGTTTTCCGATGCCTTTTCTTCTTTCTTCCCCAGAAATAGCTCCACTGACCAGGCAAAAAAGATACTTTTTTGCTGGGGTCCTAAATTCCAGCCTAGTTTTGGGGGTGTCAAAGGTGGGAGCATGTTTTTTGTTTCCCAGGAGGGTTTCTCATTTTGACCCAGAGGGGCCACAAAGGGTGGGTGTTCCTTCTGGTTTCCCTGGCCGCAACTCTGAAAAGGGTAGGTCTTTCGACATGTTCATCCACAGTCCCTTCGAACATCAACTCAGCTAGGACCCTGGGTTCCGGTGGATGTCCAACAAGGGTGCGTCGTTTTGCGATTTCAGGGGCTCATCACAAGGGTTCCTCTTAAGCAAACCATGACCATCACCCGAAGGAGTTCGAAGCATGTCACGTGTGGCCTTACGTAAGCCAGAAACAGCGGTGCTCAGGTGGGCCCATGAGAATGTGCGGCACAGCATGGAGCACGTGGGTCGGAGACAATCCGTGTCCAACCGAGCGGGGTTTTTTGAGACAATCCCTGTCCTGCCCCGCGCAATCGCATCCCCACTGGCCAGAGCTGAGAGAAAAGGTACGGGCGTGCGGACGCAACGAGCATTGTCCGGCTACGTGAGGGCATGGGGGGCCATTGCGGCACGGAGCAAAAGGGGTGTGACCACAGCCGTGGCTTTCCTTCATAGGGATCAGAGCTGCAGAGCCGTGGAGGGGTGAGCTTCCTCCCCAAGCTTCGATGGGCTCAGACAGCACGAGCAGTGCGCGTACACAGCCACACAGACAGCCAGCCCTCCCACCCACCCAGCTCAGCCAGCCACGAGCCAGCTCAGCCAGCCAGCTAGCCAGCCTGCTGCCAGCCAGCCAGCCTGCCAGCCAGCCTGCCAGCCAGCTCAGCCAGCCAGCCAGCTAGCCAGCTAGCACGTATGGCGTCACACTGAGAGCCCAAAAACAAGAGCACAAGCCGACAGCGAACCGGGCCTTTCCATGCGCCATTTCCCGCACACCTTGATCTCATTCAGGCACTCGCGAGCCTATGGCATGGCGCGCCGGTGCTGTGCGGGTCTGCCTTGCGGCTTTTTGTGCCGGCAGACCCGGACGGGTGGACGGGGCCGGTTCGTGAATACTTTTCCTGTTTGCCGCCCAAAACATGTGTGTGGACTCCAGTGTGGACGGCGGGTTGACCAAAGCAGCAACTTCAGGGAAGCGCCGTTTGGAGTGGTGAACAGGGTGTTCCGCAGCTGGACTCACTTTGGGAGCGCTGTTGTTGTCCAGATATTATCCGGAGTCATTCGTAGTTGGGCCTGCGCTCCAAAGAAAGGGGCGGAAGCTGCATAAGGCACATGTCTATTCAACAACGCACTCTTTTGCTGCTGCACAATGACTGTTGCTAGTGATTCTCTGTAAATTGGCATGGTACCCAAACAAGGGGTCCCCAAACGGAGATTCCTCAAAGATCCTCAAAAGGTGAGGATCCATGTTGGCTCGCCCAGCTTTTCTGCCGCACTTGCCGAGGCCGGGTACTGGCCCATAGGGGCGGTGCGGCCGTGGTCCATTGCGGCATGGAACCAACACCGGAAGTCCAGCTACATACAGAAGGCCTTCCTGGCTCGTTCGGGGGCGGAAGGTGGTTGGTGGAGGGGGGTTGGGTGTGGTGGGCGAAAGGCTGGCTTCTTTGTTTGGGAGGGCCCAACGGATCAATGACATGCTGTCGGGGAAGGGGGCGAAGATTTGAAGGGAGGTGCCCTTTCCTTGGGTTTTGCAGAGAAAACGAAGCCGCTGTGGTCAAAACCACCGTTGCAAGCGGAGAGCCAGGCAATCTCTTGGACGTGTGCGGATGATGGTTGGTTTGCCTGGGGCAATTGCTGTTGACCCTCCCACCAAGAAACATGGAAGTGCAAAGGCAGCATTTCCAAGGAGGCGAGGGTGTCTGTTCACCAAGCATGTTTCCACAATTCGTGGTTTGTTTTCCATTCAGTCAAGCCCAAGCCCTTCAATTTGTTGAAATCGCGTTCGCCCACAAAATCTATGCAAGGTGGCAGACTCGCCACATGCTGGGGTAAGTGGGGTGAGTCCCCCTTCCATAGCTTTCAAGCTACTTAGATTAAAGACCCCCAAAGCTTTGGGGCCCTCTCCTCTGCTTTGGCCAGGACTGTGTTTGGCTCGAGCGGCTGCTGCACCTTCACTCCAAGGATGAGATCCTCCGTGGACTAGAGGCCGCCGCCAAATGTTTCGCACTTTCCCGGCGGAGGCCGATTTATTTTAGTCGGACTTCAGGCTTGGTTGCAAGTTTTGGTTTGAAGCGCCCACCCCCTAGTCCCCTTAAAGGGACACCAAAGGTAGACGTGATGTTTAGACAAGGGGCCTTGGGACCAACCCTGGCAGATGTTCTTTCCCACGCCCTTGGACATGGCTCATTCATGGAAAGATCTTCCTCGGCTCCCGTCCACGAATGTGTATGAGGTTGTAGATCACGCCAATTTTGCGGCCAACTGCCGCCCAAATTGGAGGGTCACGGATGCCACGCCCTGTTGCTCAGACCACGCGATGTTTGGGCTACAACACCCCTGCGATGGATGAGCCTTCCTGATCATGTGGGTGGGATGGTGAATAAGTGGACATGCTACACAGAGGTGATCTCTCATGGGCTTTTCTCTTACAGGATGCCGCGAAGACACAGCTTGATGGTCAGGTTCACAATTCCATTGAGAAGCTGGGAGAATGACTGTCCAAACATATAAACAAAGACCGAGGCTGCAATCACACCAGATTCCGCATGCCAAAGACAACAGAAACAATGTGCTCACTACATAACCAACACATGCTCCGGCGTTAGGCTGCTTGACGTTACCACTTCTAGATGACCGAAGGTGTTTCCAGAAGCAGGTCCGCAAAAGTGGTCGATGCCCTTCCGGTTTCCCCGACCACACACACACACAAACACCCTCCAATAGGGGTCCTTCACTTTTGGAAGCAAAGAGGGTCCCATAATCAGTGCATGCAAAGCACCAAGGCCAAGCCCACAATACCAGGGAGTGGTTCTGAGGCACCTCTATCCAGGAAACTGGAAGCGCACATGTCGGCAACTGCTTAATATCAGATGAATTTGAAGTCCCCAATGCCTCTTCACAAGAACTTCCTGAGGAAAACTGGCATCCAGAAGAGACCTTGTGACTTTTGCACATTGAAGTCCGCGATGGCACATGACAACTTCATGATTCGAGAAGTTAGAATGATAGAACTGGCCATGAATTCGCAGGTCAGTCACTGAGAGCTGTGTCCCATGACTTGCGGGAATCCCCCTTCGCTTTGACTGCAAGTCCAATTCTGGCGCAGGGTTTAGGTCAAAAGTCATGAAGAGCTCCGGCACACCACTCATCGGTGAGGATCCATTTGCAGAGAAGGCTTGGATCAGCCTTTGCCAACCACCTTGCCTTCGGCCTCACCCTCCCCTCCACACCTTCCTGTCTGTCTGTCCGTCCGTCTGTCGGTCTGTGTGTCCGTCGGTCTGTCTGTCCGTCCGTCTGTCCGTTCGTCCTGTCCGTCCAGCCGTCAGCCATCCTTCCGTCTGTCTTTCTGTCTGTCTGTCTTTCCGTCTGTCCGTCCGTCCGTCCCGTCGGTCGGTCTGTCTGTCTGTCCGTCCGCCGGTCCGTCCGTCTGTCTTTCTGTCTGTCTGTCCGTCTGTCCGTCCGTCCGTCTGTCTGTCTGTCCGTCCCTCGGTCTGTCTGTCGGTCGGTCTGTCTGTTTGTCTGTCCGTCTGTCTGTCCGTCCGTCCGTCGGTCTGTCTGTCTATCCGTGTGTCCTTCTGTCTGTCTGTCTGTCCGTCAGTCTGTCTGTCTGTCCGTCTGTCCGTCCAGCTGTTTGTCCGCCCGTCCGTCCGTCCGTCCGTCGGTCTGTCTGTCTGTCCGTGTCCGTCTGTTTGTTGGTCTGTCCGTCTTTCTGTCTGTCCGTCAGTCCGTCCGTCCGTCTGACTGTCTTTCTGTCTGTCCGTCGATCTGTCCGTCCGTCCGTCCGTCCGTCGGTCCGTCGGTCCGTCGGTCGGTCGGTCTGTCTGTCTGTCTGTCTGTCTGTCTGTCTGTCTGTCTGTCTGTCTGTCTGTCTGTCTGTCTGTCTGGGCCCTTCAGCGGCCCTTTGACCATTTGACCTTCTGGCCCTTGCAGGAGCTGCAGCTGAGCTACAGCGGCGCGGAGCTGCAGACTTGGGTGCGGAGCCATGACCTGGTGGCGGTGCAGGAGAGGGGTCCTACGAATACAATGGGGTTGAAGAATTTCCATATTGCTTCCCGTAGCCATGTCTCAATTAACTTAGTTTTATGGCACCCCATGCCCCCATTCTAATTGTACACGCATCGCGCTTCAGCCAGGGCCTATTTGATGTAGCGGCCTCCTTTGATCGCCGTTCTTAATTTGATCGCCCGGCGTGGGGAGTCTAGGCAGCTGGCACGAAACGACGTTCATCCCATGTGCGAAAGCATCATTCGCTTCACAGCCGTAGGCCAAGGGGAGACGGGGCTTGGAGACGGGGCGGGGCTACCTGGGGCTTGCCGCCTAGGTCGAAGTGGCGAGCTACTCATACTCAGGCCCTTGTATTACACATAGGGGTTGACCGTGGCTCGTGAGGCAGAGCGTCTCGGAAGTTTGCGGCTAAGATCACGCGAGGGGGACCAAAACAGCATGCCCCTCAGCTTGGAGAGAGCTGGTCCTGGTTTGAGTGAGTTTGGTTGGAAACTGTTTTTGGGGGCATGTACTTTTATCATAGCGTATGTCATTTCCTGCCTATGCCCAACGCGGCATTTGGCTCAAGATTTTACCTCCGGCATTTAGGTTTTGCTGTGACCGTCGCCATAGCGGTGCGGCGCTGAGCACCGTCCGCCTCCTGGAAAAGGGGCGGCCGGCAGCTGGCGGTGCCGTTCTACGGCGGGTCCGGGTCGAGGCCAATTTGGGGGGTTGCGCTATTGGTTTGCTTTGCTCGCTCGCTGCGCTGCTTTGTTTGCCTGCTTGGTTTGCTGCTTCGTGCTTGCTTTCGGTTGTTTCTGCCCCTGCTGGGCTTCTTTACCTTGTTACAACTGGCACCCTGTTTTGGTTCGTGTTTGGCCACCCGAGGGCAACCGCTTTGCCCTTGGGACTGGGGGGATAAGGTGGTCTCTTCTTGTTGGTGGGTTAGGGCCTGTTTTATCCATCCCGAAACTCCGTTTCAAACCCTTTCGCAGGTTATCAGCCGTAGGATTCGTCCTCGGTTGGCACCGCGAACCCCTTTTTAACAACCCTGCAGGCGCTGTAGGTTATTGTATATACGATGGCAGGAATCACTGAGGATGGACCTCACGTGGTGACTGATGAATGGGTTCTCGGCCAGGCCGGAATCTTGGATGTTGTGAATGACGACCAGGTGCCCGGACAGCCGATGTTTTCCGGTCCTGATTTTTTGTCGGACCACACTTTTTCCGAAGCAATGCGTTCAGGAAGGTCCAGTGCTACTCGCACTGATGACCTATCGTCTAATGCCTCAAGAGCTAATCGCTCTCAGGGTCATGGGGCTAATCGTCCTGACCATGATGATTCCGTCTCAGGACGTGATGATGACGAGCCCGGTATTGCACCTGGAGCTCAATCCTCATCTTTCCCGGAGCTGATGAATATTGGTCAGTCCGAGTTTCGTGACTCTCGAAGTAGCAGTAGACCTGTGCCAACCAGCAGTATAGTTTTTCAAGCGCTCGGTAATCCCGAACCCGGTACATCCAGTGGAGTTGCATTTGATGTTCATCTGCCAGCCGATATCGGTAGGTCAGATTGGATGGCCTCATGGCCCAACGACGGTAATATTTTTGGCATGGATTTCAATACATGGATGCCAGGGCCACCCGCCCCATCATCTTTCCCGCAGTTTCAGAGCCCAAAGCGGACTGCTGGAAGCGAGGAATTCATGCTACCCTTGTCCATTGAAAATCTCAATCCTGATGTGGCCAGCCGCAATGTCAGGCCAAGGCCATCGGTGAACCCGACAATGAGGAATATGTCCCCTCCCCCAGGACTTTCAGGATTTGAGAGTCCAAGGGAGCGAAACATTGTAGATAGGTTGGATTTGCATCCCAGTCCTACGCCAAGCAAACGGTCTAGGTCAGACTCGGCCAGCTCGCATAGGGCTAGAAGGATGGATCGAGAGACCGCACACAGGGGAAACCCCAGTGTGCGGGGCTCAAGACGTGGTCACTCAGGCGATCCCGCGTCGATTGTCGGTAGGGATCCGCTAAACGCGGACACGTTGATTAACGTGCTTGATGGGATCGAAGCATTCCAGGAGGAATTCAATAGGTCGAGTGGCCCGAATGTACAGCCTGTTCGCCCTACGCCCAATGCGGCTTCCTTTCTCACCATTGACAACACAGACGGAGCTGATGTTCCGATTGAGTCTGAGTCCATGATGGCATCAAGTTCCAATCACAACAACACCGTCAGCAGCGCAACCGATGTTGAATCAATGTCTGAGTCTAGAGCGTCCAATGCGACTGATTTGCATGACGTTGTCATTGCCGATATGAAGCCTGAAGTTCCTATGCGGACTGATAGGCCAGTAGTTCCCAAATTGTTTGTGACAAAGGGTCTAGGCATGCCACAGCCATCAGCGGTTCGTGATGCCAGAAGATCTGCACCGTATCAGAGTCAGTCTCCTAATCGGAGAGAATTCCCACGGCCATCAACGGCTGTACAAGATGATTTCAGGACACCTCCGAGATCTAATCCGATCATGGTTGATTTGTCCACTCCTCGAGATCGCGGATCAGGATTTGGTCCTGCGAGTGAGGAGCAACACAACGAGGTTGCTGATCTTGTAACAGCCCTTGAAAGAGGGAGAGTGGACTCTTCGGTAAGTGCGATCATTCATCGCCTGGTTGCTAAGGTCGAAGACCTTGGGCGTAGGAATGATAGAAGTGATCAATGCATCAAGCAGCTCTCCACTGAGGTTAACTCGTGGAGGGCCAAATACGACCAATGCGTCCATGTGAGTAGCACGTGTACGCAGGCTGCGAACGCGGCCATGCAGCTGTCGCAAGGGACTAAGGACATCGTGACCGAGCTTGGCCAACGCGTCAAGATCGTTTCCAATCGCATGACAAGCATAGGCGATGCCCTAAATGAGCGGGCCAGCTATGATGATGTTGCTCGCTCCATCACCCAAGTTCAAACTGTTTTTGAATCTCTTTCTGATCGAGTAACCGGGCTTATAGCTCGTGTTGATGCGATCGAGAGATCTCTAGTGGAGAGCCAATCCAACCATCCTGCGATTGGTGGAGTAAACCTCAAAATCGAGGACCTGTCCACTAGGGTATGTCAGATTGATAGGATGATGCAAGATGTCGAACAATGCTGGACCAATAATAGGGACGGCATAAAGTGGGTTAAAGACCAACTTTATGAGACACAAGCCAACCTTGAGATAAAGTCAAGGGACTGCAAATCCTACACGGACAAGCAAAATACTCATAACATGGCCGTTTCGACTACGCTCAACAGTAAGCTCGAGCAAATGCTCGAGGTGCTGGGTAATACGGCCCAGAGAATTAACTCCCTCGAGTCAAGGCACTCGAACCAGGCATCAAGTAGTGGATTGAACGATCGCACAGGAGGAAGGCGTGCCGCGTCCCGTACTCCGGATAAGCGGCCACCTCCACCTGGCCCTCCTGATGATGATCCTCCACCACCTCCTCCTCCAGATCGGCAAAGCCCAGGAGGAGGGGGGAAGAAGAGTGCTGCCGGTGGGAACCCTGGCGACCCTGGTAAACCCAGGTGTAAATACGTAGGTGATGGAAATAATCACCTCATGGCTGAGTTTCACTGCAAAGGATGCAGAGGTGATATTTGTGAGTATTGTTTCTCGTTCAAAGAGAACTTGTGTGAAGAATGTTCCCGTAACGGACCCCGATGCGGTGTCTGTAGGGAGAGCTCGTTCCTGACCAAGGGAATTGAGTGTCAGTTTTGTAGGACCTACTACTGCACCAGACATTCTGCTGGGCAGGATGACTACAGGAGATTTGGATTTGTCCAGGGTCCCTGTTGTCTTGCGTGCCTTAGGGACGAAACTAGGAGAAGAAGGGATCCCGATGGTAACCGTGTCAGGAATAGATCTCCTGGAGGCGCACCTGAGACGAACCCGACGCGGTCGTACTCGCCGCCTCTGCGGCCACCCGTTGACAGATTCCGTGACATTCCCACTGGGGGTCAACCCAACGCGGCTGACCTTCAGAGCCCTCCGAAGGCTACGCAACCCGTGCCCCTGGATAAACGTGAAACCGGATATTATCCAGGATTTGATCCCAACGGTACAAGGCCGAAGGATCCTTCAGGCCTTGAGCCGCCGACCATGCGTGGCCCCGATCCTCCTGACAAGAACTGTCGGATGTGTGATCGGGATATTCCTGACCCCAGCAAAATTGGGGAATGTAAGATATGCATGAAAAGGGCATGTGAGATTTGCATTCCGAAGGCTACTCGCCTTTGTCCTGTATGTGCACTGTCAATCAGTAGTTCTCAGGTTCCACAGCATCTTTTCGGAACTGGTGGCGGCGGATACAGTAGCCACCATGATCCGAACTGTACAGCTGCGACTAAGTGCATTCCCATAGACCTCCCGCCAGAGCCCGACGCGGCTGGGCTGAGGGTATGGATAGCCAATATGAAGGAAGCTGTTAGCAATGCCTACAGCTATGATGGACTTTACGTCATCAATTGGCTAACTGAAGTCGAGAAGGCAAAGACCTTTGATGAACTGGATGGGGAATGTAAATACCACATCCTTGAAGCCAGGTTCAATGCAGCCATTCGGAAGTGCATCAAGACTGTTGCAATTATCGATAAGATTAATCGTCTCACCGAAGCCGCTCAACGCTCCAACAATCGCATCAAGAGTAGGCAGATCCTGTGGCTCTTATACGACCACTTAAGGACTGCAAATATCGGAGAGCAATCATTCAGGATAATTGAGCTCTCAAACTTGCGATGCAGTGTTTCATCTTTCTATACTGAAGAGGAGCGACTTGAAAGGTTCATCGCGAAGTGGGATCACATCCTTGCGGGTCTCGATGAACCGCTGACCGAGCAGGTAAAGCGGTCGCTATTCAGTGAGAAGGTTAGACACCTCAACTGTTTGGCTCATGATATCAGGGAATGGGATAGGAACATATCCAACCCTGATGTTTGTAGCTATGAATGGCTTCGTGCTCGTTGTAAGAACGAAA